GTATTTTTTTAAAAATAATTTAGTTAACTTTATTTTATGTGTGTTGGTGTGAATGTCCCCTGGAACTGGAGTTCCAGGACAGTTATGATGCCATGTGGGTGCTGGGAATTGAACCTGGGTCCTCTGGAAGAGCAGCCAGTGCTCTTAACCGCCGAGCCATCTCTCCAGCCCACATCAGTGCATTTTTAAATAGGGAAGAATGAAGCAAGATTAGATATAAAACAATGTGGAACTGGTCCCGTGGCACAGACTCTGGAGTCCTGAGCACCAGGTTTCACATCCTAGCTACTGAGTGGCGGAATGGGAGGCGTCAGCAGCCATTCCTGCCAGAGGCCACCTAAGCAAATGGAAACATTGGGGAAGCCGCTAAAGGACAAATTCCTGAAATAGGTCGACCTGAGTCAGCGTTGAAGAAGTCCTCTCTCACTGGTGGTGACGCACGCCTTTAATCCCAGCACTGGGGAGGCAGAGGCAGGTGGATCTCTGAGTTCGAGGCCAGCCTGGGCTACAGAGTGAGTTCCATTATAGCCAGGGCTACACAGAGAAACAAACAAACAAAAGAAAGAAGGAAAACAGAAGTTCTCTATTTCCTGCAGGAGGAAACCAGATGAAACTGGATTTTAACTGATTACCACCCCCACCCCCACCCCCACACAATTCTGTTTCTGTGATGGCCTTTTACAAAGCTTGCCAAATACATGCTGCCTTGATTTTAGAATCCTCCATCAAAACACATCAGATCAGAGACCAGGTGTGGTGCATGCCTGCGATCTTAGCACTTGGAGGTTAGGGCAGGTGGGTCATGAGTTCAAGGCCAGCCTGGGCTACACGGTAAGATCTTGTCTCAAAATGAAAACAGAGCCAGACTTGGTGGCACATGATTTCAATTCCAATGCTTGGGAGGCAGAGGCAGGTGGATCTGTTTGAGGCCAGCCTGGTCTACACAGTTAGTTCAGAAGGGCTCGGACTATTGACAGACCATGTCTGTCTCAAAATGAAAAGAAAGAGAAAAGAAAACAACCCATCCATTGGACCTGTGAGCTTCCTGTGGTTTTGTGCTCTGCCCTCGCTCTGTAGTTCACTGCTTGAGGGAACTTAAGCATGTCTTCTGCCTTTTAAAACCTCAGTTTCCCTTGGTGGAGAACAGCATCTCCCTCTTGTGGGGCTCTGAGTTCCCAAACACTTCCCAGAAACCTGGAGTAAAGTAGATGTGCAGTCAGCAGGGTTTGGTAAAGGACAGTCATTGTGTTCTCTGGACGTGGCGCCACGTGTGTGTGTGTGTGTGTGTGTTACAGGCACTCACTCTGGAGTCACCCATGCACCAGGACCTGTGTGTGTGTGGAACATGGCTCCTCTTAATGAAGAGATATTTTTTTCTGAATTTATTCATTTTTATGTGCATTGGTATTTTACTTGCATGTATGTCTGTGTGAGGGTGTCAGATCCCCTAGAACTGGAGTTGCAGACAGTTGTGAGGGGCTATGTAAGTTCTGGGAATTGGACCCGGGGCCTCTGGAAGAGCAGCCAGTGCTCTTAACCGCTGAGCCATCTCTCCAGCCCCAAAGAAATTTTCTTAACTACCACAGGCCCTCTCTGAGCTCTCTCTCTCTCTCTCTCTCTCTCTCTCTCTCTCTCTCTCTCTCTCTCTCTCTCTCTCTCCCCCCCCACGCTGCAGGTTAAACAACGGACCTCAGGCATGCACGGGAGGCAAACACTGAGCTGCAGCCTCAGCTCCACCTTGTTTTCTAAATACAGCTTTTTTTCTTTCTGTTAGAACTTGATCTGGGGCAGCCCAGGGTTCGCCTTTGCTATGTAGCCAAGGATGACCTTGAACTTCTGACCCTCCTTGTTGTGAGCGCTAGGGTTATAGGTGTGCAGTGACTATCTGCTTTATGAAATGCTGGGGATCGGTTCCAGAAGCTTTGTGACTGCTAGGCCAGCACTCTGTCAACCCCCGTCTTTTCCTCCCTCCCTCCCTTTCTTTTTTAGACAGAGTCACATTTGGTCACTTGGTAATCTAGATCTTCCTTTGAACTGAGCGTTTTCTGAGTTCAGCCCGAGACTCAGTGGGACTGTAACACACGCCCTCTTCGTCAGCTCCGCCCACATTCCTCTTGTCCTGCATCAAGGCTGCCATAGGGGGCCCACATTCTGTAAGACACGCCCTCTGTGTCAGCCCCGCCCACATTCCTCTTGTCCTGCATCAAGGCTGCCATAGGGGGCCCACATTCTGTAAGACACGCCCTCTGTGTCAGCCCCGCCCACATTCCTCTGGTCCTGCATCAAGGCTGCCATGGGGGCCCACATTCTGGCACTGGCCATGATCACAGTGAGACATTCACCACTGCAGCGAGCTATTTGTCGGGCACATTTGCTCTGTCCACAGCTGTTAGGAGCAGCGGGTATTAGGTACCCACGGTCTCCAACACACGCCTCCTGGAGCCAGACAGTCTTTATTTTTAAAGTTTATTTATTTACTTATGAAACAGGCTGGCCTCTAACTAACTATATAACCAAGGATGACCTTGAATGCACGGTCCTCTTGCCTCTAGACTGTTGGGATTGTAGGTGTGGGCCGCCATGTCCAGCTCTAGTTTTATGTCTTGAATTAAATGTCTAGATAAGTAATTGTGAGTATGAGCAGACAGTGAGAAAATGATCTAAATTCATCCTTTTAAATTTTTTCTTTTTTACATTCTAATTGATTGATTTCATGGGTGCATTTAGTTACTTTTCTGTGGTTTCGATAAACACCATGACTAAGAGCAACAGAAGGAAGGGAGGGTGTATTTTAGCTCAGGGTGCCAGAGGGAGAGATGTGCCATGATGGCAGGCAAGACATAGTGACCGGGGTGGTGGTGGTGGGGTGGGAAGGCGGGGTTGACAAAGGCAGGAAGCTGGTCACATTTCATCCACACACAGGAAACAGAGAGCACAGGAAGAGGGACAAGCTGTAAAACCCCACAGCCCACCCACAGTTGAGGCTCTTCCTTCAGCAAGGCTGCGTTTTCTAAAGGTTCCGTGGGGCTGGAGAAAGCTGTTGGAACACTGGCTGTTCTTCCAGAGGACCTGGGTTCAACTTCCAGCTCCTACGTGGTGGCTCACAACCAGCTGTAATTCCAGTCCCGGGGGCTACGACACCCTCTTTTGGCCTCCAAGGACACTGCATTCACACGGTGCCCAGATGTGGGGCGTTTACCCACCACCCCCACAGCTTCCCAGAGTTTTCTTGAGTGCGAGCAGCAGGAAATATTAGATAGAAGGATTTATAGCGGAGAATCTTGCGGAGATAAACAGATAGAAAATAAAGGATAGCCTCGAGAGGGCCTGGAACCTATTCCAACGGGCCCGGACTGTCTCTGGTCCAGGGTTTTTATAGAGACGCCAAGGGGTGGAGCAAAAGACCTCCTCCCCCAGCACAGCCAAGTGCAGGCCATCTCAGACACCTGCACTCAGGCCCGTGGTCCTGATCATCCTCTATTCAGACCTGCTGGGTAAAGCCACGAGGAACCCCAGAACGGGCTCCCACACCCAGACATACATGCAGGGACACCCATACACATAAAATAAAATATATTTTTAAAAAATGTTATTTCCTGGTGCACGCTTTTAATCCTGGCACTCAGGAAGCAGAGGCAGATGGATCTCTGAGTTGGAGGCCAGCCTGGGCTACAGAGTGAGTTCCAGGTCAGCTGGGGCTACACAGAGAAACGCTGTCTCGCCCCCCCCCCAAAAAAAAATCAGAATGCAGAACAGAGTTAGAGAAATGGCTCAGCAGGTAAAGGGTTAAGTGAGGTCCCCACAATCCACCAGGAGAGAAGGAAGGACCGCCACAGTTGTCATACAGCCCCACACCCGCACCACAGCACACTCACACAACACACAAACAAATGGTTTTTAATACAGAATACTTTTCTGTTGGTTTGGCTTGCGGCTGTTAACTGATTAAATTTCCTTATGTCTCCTTCCCTTCATTTTGTGGCTCTTATAAAAAAATTTACAGCCATCTTAATCTTCTCTTATCACGAATAGCTTTGATCTCTCTTTTTATTTCTTTATTTCCTTCTGGTGCTATTTATGAATCCACCGCTGTGGGCATGCTGGGCTAGCACTCTACCACTGAGTCACCCCCCCAGCCCCTCACTGGGGGATTCTAGGCAGGGGCTCTACCACTGAGCCACACCCCAGCCGATCACTGGGGGATTCTAGGCAGGGGCTCCACCACTGAGCCACACCCCAGACCCTCACTGGGGGATTCTAGGCAGGGGCTCTACCACTGAGCCACACCCCAGCCCCTCACTGGGGGA